TATCACAACTTCATAGCATATTAGAGAGATAATAACTTTTGATTCAAATCGAAACTTCCGGTATGGGATTGGAAGTTCCGGTCTCAATCGAAAAGTTCAGCGGATAACGGAATAAACACTAGCTATGAACTTATAGCTCAAACAAACAAAATGTATATGAATCAAAAGGTGACAAATAAGATATCTAAGCAAGATATAAGGTCACCAACTAAATCAAATAAGCATGCAAGTAGATCGGGTAAAAACAAGCTCAAGCACAATATGAGAGAATGCAAGAATGGGCAAACCAAGAAGGGAGACGCGCGATTTATTTCCCGAAGTTCGGATCCACGGATCCTACGTCTCCGTTGAGGAGCCACAAGGGCCGAGCCTATTTCAACCCTTTCCTCACGAGGTTGCACAAATGCACTCCTCGGTTTCACTCTTGATTTCTTCCCTTGCGGAGGCGAAATCGAAGCCTTCACAAACTTTCCGTGGCACACCACAACCTTGGGTGCTCACCGGCAACGCCTAGCCGTCTAGGAGACCTTAGTCCCCAAGAGTAACAAAACAATCGAAGATTTGCTTGCTATGAACTCGAGTGCTCAAAGTATGGAGTGAAGCTCACTAGCTCTCAACTTCTCAATCACTCAATCCAACTCTTTTCCCTTCTCAAATCCCTCTCATAAAGAGGCACCACAAAGGATGGAGTGAAGCTCACTAGCTCTCAACTCCTCACTCTCTCAATCCAACTCTCTCCCCTTCTCAAATCCCCCTCACAAAGAGGCACCACAAAGGTAGGGAAATGGGGATGGCTATTTGGCTTTGGATGTGTCTAATACTCCCCAAGAGCAGCAGCCACTCAAAGGAGGGGTGGAGGGGTTTATATACCCGAGCCCCTCAAAAACTAGCCGTTGGAGGCCAAGACTGTAATTTTCGGAGTTTCCGAAAAGCATTTTCGGACAAGTCCGAAAACTTACAGAAGCAAATCTCATATTCGCAGCCATTTTCGGAATGTCTGAAAATTTTCGGAGTTATCCGAAAAATTTTCGGAGTTTCCGATAATTTTTCGGACTTTCCGAAAAGCGAAGAGTAAAACGACTATAACTTTTCGCTCGGGAGTCCGTTTTTAATGAACTTGGACTCTATGGAAAGCTCACTCAGAGGACTACCCAACTCAACCAACAACAAGGTCTAAAACCACTCAAAGGATATGTTAAAACTTGGGTTTCTCTCAAGGTAGCACTATGATAGGTCACTTTGAGCACCGAGACATACACAAACACCTCGACGTTGCATCCCTCTTAATAGTACGGCATTCCTAAACTCAAATGTAAATAAGAAGAGAACTATACCATTAGGAATGCCTTTTTTTCATCTTTCTTTCATTGTCTTGAGGGACGCCAATGCCGATACCGTTTCACCATATATTCTTCAAATAATTGATGCGGTTACTTGTAGCTTTAAATGGTCTCACACGGTCCATCATGACAAAGCCGTCACTCGCCCTTCACCACCGGATTTGGTTCTTCGGCGCCAAGCCCCTTGCTTGCCCTTCACCGCCGCATGGTCCATCGCGACCGAGCATCGCTTGCCCTTCACCGTCTTGTCATAATAGCCACTTCGTATCACACATCTTCAATATCTTCACTTTGTCATTCTTGGTATTGTTAGATGTAATGATATTACTTGAGCATCAACACCTTTGTAATCCTTGGGACCTATTTCTTTCATTCAACTCAATAAAATTATTAGTCCCAATGATCCGGTTGTCAACCTACACATGTTGACCAACTGATCGCAAGTATAAAAGGATATGAATAAATGATGAGTATTAATCAACACCACAAGTGTCATATACTCAAATATATGTTCAAGTGTAAAGATCCCAATTAAATGAAGGTGAATAATTTGGATCGATTACATGCATAACTAAAGTATAGGATTTGCTCCCCCTAAATGTATGCATACAAAATATTTGTGTGAAGCAAGAGTATGCATAACAAGATAGTAAACATTGAGAGCTTATCCTATATAAGAATAGAAGGCATTTATCAAATATAGACAACAAAATAAAAACATACCTGAAAGTGCATCTAGGCCCCTAATGATTTTGATGATTGATTACAATGCGATTAGAGAGGACTAACACTTTTATTCAAGCAAATGTGAAGGTTGTTATGTCCTCGACATGTTGTAATGAGATGCATACCCCATGAATGCGACATCACGATGCAATGCGGCAATGATCAAATGGTATATTGTATCTTTTACCTTGCATTGTGTCGTAGGAATGCCGTACTATTAAGAGGGATACCACATGCATATAATTGGTAGAACACTAGTGCTCAAAATGCTTCATCTTTGTGTGAGTTGAAAAACCTAAGTCAAAATTTCAATCCCGAGTTGTTTCACTTGTCACAACACTTACACCGGGTTTCTTTGCAAGTTTTTCAACATCTCTTGAAGGTTTTGGACCATGTTTTATGTTGGGTTTGATAGCCCACGAAACTAGCATTCCATAGAGTCCAAGATCTTTGAAATCGGAGTTCGGAGTAAAAAGTTATTGCAGTTTTACTTGAGCAACATCAGACTATCCGATTTGAAATCAGACTATCCGATGTATCGGACTATCCGATTCTTCACAGAACTTCACTCTCTGTCTTGATTTGAAAAAATCCTATCGAGTGAGTTTTTCTAAGTATCGGAGTATCCGATGTCGGATCAGATAGTCCAATGATACAGAGACTCCGAAATTTCATAGAACTTGAGTCTCTGTTTGAGGACGAAGTTTTTGCTTCTAAAATATTAGATACTCCGATTTAACATTAGATAGTCCGATGTCTCGGAAAGTCCAAAATTTCATGGAACTTCGTTCTCTGTTTCTAGTTGCCTTGGAGGTTTAAAATATCGGACTATCCGATCTTGTATCGGACTATCCGACGTGGGCTGAAAGATTCCCCTCCAACAGCCACATTTTTGGGGATCTATAAATACCCCCCACCTAACCCTTTTCTAGGGTTACCCAACTCATTTCATTCTCATTCACTTTGGGTTGAGCTTGGTGCTAAGGTGCTTTGGATCTTTGAGCTCTTTCTCCCTCTCTCAAATCCCTCCTTGTTCTTTGTGTGGTGGATCTTGGTGGTTGTGGATTTGGTGTTTGAGGGCCTAGTGTGTGTTTCACTCGATCTTGAGCACTAGGGTTTGACCAAGAGTTATGTGGTGTTTGTTACTCTTGGAGGTTGAGGGCTCCTAGACGGCTAGGTGTCACTCCCGAGCCACAAATCTACGTGTGGTTGGCCGGGAGAAGTTTGTGAAGGCCGGATCTCACCTCCGCAAGAAAAGAGATACCCCTTAGTGGAAGGAGGAGTGCTTAGTGCAACCTCTTGAGGAAAGGGTTAGCAAAGACCCGGCTCTTAGTGAGCTTCTCAACGGAGAGTAGAATCCCCTCAAGGATTTGAACTCCGGGAACAACTTCGTGAACTTCATCATTGGTGATCTCCCTTCATCCTCTTTTTAGCTTTGCTTAATTGTGCCGCTATAGATCTAGTCGCTGTTTGTGCCTTACTCTTGTTTGTGTGATAGATCTACTTGTTGTGCTTCATTGGTGGATCAGACAGTCTGATCCAACATCAGACTATCTGATATTTTCGGATAGTCTGACTGTGGATCAGACTTTCCGACCTTATTTCAGTTTTAGCTTCCGCATAAAGTTTTAAATTAGCCTATTCACCCCCCTCTAGGCCTAATTGACCCTTTCAATTGGTATCAGAGCCTAATCTCCTAATTAGGCTTAACCGCTTGGAGAGATCATGTCGGGTCAAACGGGGAATGGCAAGGATGGTGATAAGGGAGCTACGTTTCCTTATGACTATCCCTCCGCATCTACATCTTATGTGAGCACCTATAGCGGCAAAGCTCCGTACTTCAATGGTACGGACTATGCCGCTTGGAAACATAAGATGAAGATGCATTTGAAATCTATTAACCCTTTGATTTGGAGAATAGTCGAAAAAGGCTATGTTTTGCATAATCCTGAGGAACCCACCAAGGAGGACGACGAGAACGAGCACAAGAACGCTCAAGCCGCTAATGCAATTCTTAGCGTCTTGAGTGGAAGTGAGTTCAACCGTGTGGACGGCATTGAGAGTGGCAAAGTGATTTGGGACACGCTTCGGAATTTGCATGAAGGCACGGATAGTGTTCGTGAGTCAAAGGTGGAGATTCTCAAGGGGCAATTTGAGTGGTTTGTGATGTTGGATGGTGAGAGCCCAAGCGACATGTATGATCGATTGAGCAAGATCGTTAATGAGATCAAGGGACTTGGCTCCACGGACATGACCGATGAGGTTGTGGTCAAGAAGATGGTTCGGGCAATCACTCCAAGGAACTCTACCTTGGTGACCATCATTCGTGAGCGTCCGGACTACAAGACTCTCACACCTCATGACTTGCTCGGGCGTATCCTTGCCCATGACATGCTCGAGCAATAGTCCAAGGAGGCCATCCAATACATCAACCAAACCTCAACCACAATCATCAAGAAGGAAGACTTGGCATTGAAGGCGAAGGAAGAAGAAGAAGAGAGTCGCAAGAGCAAGAGCAAGGCGGAGATCGATGATGAAGAGATGGCTCTCTTCGTCAAGAAGTTCGGCAAGTTCATGAAGCAAAGCGGCTTCTTTAAGGGAAGTTCGTCCAAGTATTCCTCTAACAAGTCAAGTGGAAGACACTCCGCAAGGGTGTGCTATGTGTGCAAAGAGCCCGGGCACTTCATTGCGGATTGCCCTCACATCAAGGATTGCCCCCACTTCAAGGAAGACAAGAAGAAGCTTGAGAAGAAGGAGAAACACAAGCATAGCAAGCATGATCGCTATGGCCAAGCTCACCTTGGGATGATCTTCGGCTCCGACTCCGAGTCAAGCTGAAGTGAAGAAGAAGGAGTTGCCACGTTCGCCGTCAAGCCTTCATCACCACCGAGACTCTTCAACTACTCAAGTGATGAGGATGCTCCCATTTGCCTCATGGCAAAGGAGCCTAAGGTACCCTCTCCCCTCAAGTCATTTAATGTTGATCTTATTAGTGATGAGGAGAAAGATGTTGAGGATGAGGTTATGGATGACGAGTTGTTCAAATCCATAGCAAAGGAATCCATACCACACTTGAGTGAGTTGCTTGGGAGAATTGAGAATCAATATGCAACCCTTGAGAGGCAAGAGGAATTGCTCATTCGTGAGAAAGAGTGGTCTCATGAACTCAAGAGTGAACTTTCTAAGGAGAGAGAGAGAAATGAGGCTTTGGTACGGCTTTACAAGCAAACCAAAGAGTCTCATGCTAATCTTGAGGTGACAAACGCTCAACTTCAAGAGAGAGTGGATGGCTTGGATAAAGCTTACCTCTCTCTTGAAGCGAAGTTCGAAACCTTAAAGAATAGTGTCTCTCTCCCTAGCGAGGCATCGTGCTCCAAAATTGTCCCAAGCAATAAACCATGTGTGAGGTGCAAAGATATTGATATTGAAGCTTGTGCTACTAACTCTACTTCTTTGAGTGCTTTGCAAAAGCAAAATGAGAAGCTTATGGGACTCCTTCATAATGGCCTACTTAAGTGCCATATGGATAGTAAGGCCCTAAAGGAGTACCTAGGCTATCAAAGGGACTACTTCAACCATGAAGGTCTTGGGTATGTTCCTCCACCTAAAGGAAAGGTGGACAAGAGTGATGATCAAGAAGCCCCAAGGTCTTAGCAACTTTGTTAAGGAAAAATGTATCCTTCCTAATGATTATGCTTCTCATTGTTCTTTTGATGCATCTTATGTTCTTAGGAAGAACACTAGTGGTCGTGTTGTTGCTAAGTATGTTGGCCCAAAGGGAAAAAATATTTCTATCAAGAGAGTACTTTAGGTGCCTAAGGCACTTGTTACTAACATGAGAGGACCCAAGCAAGTATGGGTACCTAAAACTAGAAATTGATCTCTTGTAGGAATATGTCTCCGGTGGAAAAAGTTGGGTGATTGATAGTGGTTGCACTAATCATATGACCGGAGAAGAATCAATGTTTTCATCTCTTGATCCAAATGGCACTTCTCAAGAGAACATCATCTTCGGGGACGATGGAAAGGGAAAGGTAATTGGATTGGGTAAGATTGCAATTTCAAATGACCTTTCCATTTCCAACATCCTCTTGGTAAAATCTCTAAATTACAATCTATTGTCCGTTTCTCAATTATGTTCCATGGGATTCAATTGTCTTTTTACCGATGTTGATGTGACCGTATTTAGAAGGGATGATTCCTCGGTAGTCTTTAAGGGTGTTCTCAAGGGAAAACTTTATCTTGTGGATTTTTCCTCAACTAAAGCCAAACATGAGACATGCTCAGTGGCTAAGTCCAACACGGGATGGCTTTGGCATCGGAGGCTAGCCCATGTTGGTATGAGGAATCTTCACAAATTTCTAAAGCACGATCACATCCTTGGACTAACAAATGTTCAATTTGAGAAAGATAGGGTGTGTAGTGCATGCCAAGCCGGGAAACAAATTGGAGCACATCACCCGGTTAAGAACGTAATGACTACTACAAGACCGTTGGAGCTTCTTCACATGGACCTCTTCGGGCCAATTGCTTATCTAAGCATTGGAGGTAACAAATATGGTCTTGTTGTTGTTGATGACTTTTCACGCTTCACGTGGGTGTTCTTCTTGCATGACAAGAGTGAGACACAAGCCATCTTCGAGAAGTTTGCAAGAAGAGCCCAAAACGAGTTCGACCTCAAGATCAAGAACATTCGAAGCGACAACGGCAAGGAGTTCAAGAACACGTGCATCGAGAGTTTCCTTGATGAAGAAGGCATCAAGCATGAGTTCTCGGCTCCATACTCACCTCAACAAAATGGAGTAGCCGAGAGGAAGAATCGGACTCTCATTGAGATGGCGAGGACAATGTTGGACAAATACAAGACATCGGACCGTTTTTGGGCCGAAGCCGTCAACACCGCATGTCACTCCATCAACCGCCTCTATCTTCACCACCTTCTTAAGAAGACTCCCTATGAGCTTCTTACCGGTAACAAATCAAATGTCTGTTACTTTCCTGTTTTCGGTAGTAAGTGCTACATTCTTAATAAGAAGGCTAGATCCTCAAAGTTTGCTCCTAAAGTGGATGAGGGGTTCTTGCTTGGGTATGGGTCAAATGAGTGCGCATACCGCGTTTTCAACAAAACCTCCGGTATTGTTGAGATCGCGCGTGATGTGATATTTGACGAAACTAACGGCTCTCAAGTAGAGCAAGTTGACTCACATGTGTTAGGTGAAGAGGAGGACCCTAGCGAAGCAATCAAAAGGTTGGCTCTTGGAGACGTACGTCCTAGGGAGCCACAACAAGGGGCCTCTTCCTCAACACAAGTGGAGCCACCTACATCAACCCAAGCCGACGATCCCTCTACTTCAAGCTTGGATCAAGGTGAAGAAGGCGAGCAAGTGCCACCCTCTCCGATAAATCTAGCTCATCCAAGAATCCACCAAAGTATCCAACGAGATCACCCCACCGACAACATCTTAGGAGACATCAACAAGGGAGTATCCACTCGTTCTCGTATTGCAAATTTTTGTGAGCATTACTCGTTTGTGTCTTCGCAATTTTCTTGTGAAAAACGGCTTTGAGATCGGGAAAGCTGATTCAACTCTTTTTACTAAAAGACATTATAATGATATTTTTGTGTGCCAAATATATGTCGATGACATTATATTTGGTTCTACTGACAAGTCTTTTAGTGAAGAGTTTAGTAGGATGATGACCAAGCGTTTTGAGATGTCCATGATGGGCGAATTGAAGTTCTTCCTCGGCCTTCAAATCAAGCAACTCAAGGAAGGAACTTTCATTTGCCAAACAAAGTATTTGAAGGACATGCTCAAGAAGTTTGAAATGGAGAATGCGAAGCCAATCCACACTCTCATGCCATCAAATGGCCACCTCGACCTCAACGAGCGAGGTAAAGATGTCGACCAAAAGGTATACCGTTCCATCATTGGCTCACTCATTTACCTTTGTGCATCTAGGCCCGATATTATGCTTAGTGTGTGCATGTGTTCAAGATTTCAAGCCGCTCCGAAGGAGTGTCACCTTGTGGCCATGAAGAGAATTCTTAGATATTTAGTGCACGCACCTAATCTTGGTCTTTGGTATCCTAAGGGAGCGAGGTTTGATCTCATTGGTTATGCCGATGCAGATTATGCCGAGTTTGATCTCCCTTCATCCTCCTTTTAGTTTTGCTTAATTGTGCCGCTATAGATCTAGCCGCTGTTTGTGCCTTACTCTTGTTTGTGTGATAGATCCACTTGTTGTGCTTCATTGGTGGATCAGACAGTCTGATCCAACATCAGACTATCTGATATTTTCGGATAGTCTGACTGTGGATCAGACTTTCCGACCTTATTTCAGTTTTAGCTTCCGCATAAAGTTTTAAATTAGCCTATTCACCCCACCTCTAGGCCTAATTGACCCTTTCAATACCTTCATCATCTCCACGTTCTCAATGTAAATAGACTAAATAAGAGATAATACTCAAACAAAACATTAGTCTCACATGCATATGCCAATCACGTGGAAATATTATATACGAACATATCAATATGTACATGAAGAGAAAGAGTGATACATATAGCTTGATCTCCATGTATTTCATCCTTGTGATTTAGGTCCACCAACACTCCACTTTCATATCCACATGAGACTAGGCAAAGAAATGCTTATAAAAACATTAGTCTCACATAATTGGATTTGTTATTAATCATCAAAACCAAATTAATGGCACTTGAACTTTCAGTTCCCTCCCGGGCAGGTGTGAATATCCTCTTAGCATTACCGGTAAGCCGAGCAAGCGTGATCAGCGCTTCTCAAGAATCATGAATAAAGATCCAAATTGCACTCCCATGACTACGCATAGTACTTGAATAATTGTCACACCCTAAAAATCCCAAATGTATAAATTGTTGTTTAAATGGAATTATTAGAAATGATTTTAAAAGCCTAGAAGAAAAGATCTAATTTTTAAATAATAAATTCCAATATAAAAGCGGGCTAGATAAAATTTTATTAAATACTTCTCTTGATTCTATAGTTCCTAGATTTTTCTGGGATTTATTTGAGCCAAGAAAGTATTTTTAATAAATGGAATTGCATTTCATGAATAATTTAAAAGGAAAAAGGTTTTAAAATCCTTCTTTTGGATTTGGGCCGAAAGTCGGCCCAAGTCTCTCTCTCTCCCCAGGCAAGTGCGTGCCCTGCCCAGTCGGCCCGCCAAGCCGAGCCGCCCGCTCTCCCTTCTCTCTCCCGCTGACAGGTGGGGCCCACCTGTCAGGGTCGTCGTCTTCCTCCCGCCGCAGCCGCGCGCAAGCCGCCGCCGCCTCTTCCAAATTCGGCCACGTCTTTTCCGATCCGATCGAATTGATAGAGGGGAAATGATCCTCGGGATCTCCTCTTCCTTTTCTCTTTTGGAAACTTCGGCTAATTTCGTTTGGAAAACCCCGGATTTGATCTCGATTCGGATTCATTTTTCACTCCTAACCCTAAACCTTCCATCGCCGCCGCCGGCCGCCGTGGGCCTAGCCGCCGCCCCCTAGCCCCTATAAAAGGACCCCCGAGACCTCCTCCGTCGGACGCAACCCTCGCCTTAGCTTGCCGCCGCTTGTAGCGCCGCCTCCGCGTTAGCCTTTCGCCGCCGTCGCCGCAGCAAGTCCAGCCGTGCGCCGCCGCCACTCCGGTCGTCGTCGTCGCTCGGGAAGGCCGCCGTCGGGTTCGCCAAGTCGTTGCCGTCCTCGTCCCGTCATCCGTTTTCACCGAAGACCGCCGGAGCATCGCCGTCGTCCTCGACCCGAACGTCTCCGCCGCTTCGACCTCGCCGCCGTCGCCGTCTGTTGCCGTCCGCCGTCGTCCGAGCCCTCGGTGAGTTCGCCGTGTCGCCCTCTACGCGTAGATGTCCTCCGTTTGCGCCGCCGCGCCGTCGTTCGCCGGCGAGCACGAGATGCCGAGCAGCCGCCGGTGATGACGTCATCATCGACATCAGTGCCACGTCAGCCGTAGACCCGCGGTAGATCGATTAGATCTCGGCCGTCCGTTTGGATTAGATTAGATCTCGGCCGTTCGTTTCGTAGACCGCTTCCGTGCACCCGGTCCACCGTGAACCCAAGCCCCGTTGACACAATAAATCCTTTTTCCTTTTTCAAAAATAATTCTTTATTGCGTCATAATTCAATTAAAATCTAAATAAATGATTTAATCTGGTTTAATCTTAGAAAATTCATAACTATTTCATCTTAGCTCGGATTTAGTTGGTTCAAGTCTCTAAATTTTTCTAAAATTGAGATCTACATGTTAAAAATATCCACATGTGCTGTTTACGATTGTTTATGTGCTGTTTTGGTGATTTTGCTCTTTTGCGCTTAGATTTCGACGTTCCCGGAGAGTCCGATTTTGCAGGAGAAGACTTTGAAGAGTTCCAAGGCCAGCAAGGCAAGTCACACAGATTCCAAACAACCCTTTGAGCATGTTGATCCCTTTATTTTTTAATGTCATCGGGTGGGAATGACCTATTACCTTTGTTATAGCCTTTTGTTATTGACTACCTATACTTTGTCACCTGGTTAATAATTGGATTACCTAGAACATTATATGGTTTTAGCTAAAGTAATTAGGATGCTTAGCCATGCTTAGAGATATTAGCTCATATGAATGGGATAATTAATGATTCACTACTACTTAATGATGGATTAATGGTAGCTCATGATGGTTAATCATGATAGGTTGATTAAATAAGATGCCAACTAAAACTTGATAATGGTGGGTTGTGAGCACATGGTTTTGATGGTCGTGCTAATGACAGTTAAGGACCGGTTCACGATTTTCGGTTGTGAAACATTAACCGTGCCAACCACAAGCCAGCGTGGGCAACGGCTTTACCTTTTGTATAGTGTGGTTCATTGTAGAGCACCAGACTGTGAAGTGGCGGAGATAAGCCCACGGGGGTCGCTGAGGAGTCCATGCCTTGTTTTATAAGGGGGTGATTATGATCCAGGAACGGTGCACTGCTTTGAATTGTGTTATGTGAAGGGTATTGTCACAATCTCTATTCAGGTACTTGTTAAGTATCGCGACGCATGGTTGACATGATGTTGAGGTTGTGTCTTGTGGGTACAGTGGTACACCTCTGGCCAGAGTAAAACTATTCGAATAGCCGTGCCCGCGGTTATGGACGGGTCTTACAATGTCTTTCGTGATTAGTCTCATACCTCTCACCATAATAAATGATGCTGTAATTGGCAATAACTTGTTTAGCTCCTGGTTTGGAATGGTATATTCCTGGTTTGGAGATAGAACTGTGCAGCCGGGAATGGTTGTTCAGAATGGTTGGGCCTATGCAATGGGTATGTTGTATAGCGTTGGATTAATACTGTTTATTTAAATACTTTATTGTTTTTCTAAATTCTGAAGTATTTATTGAATGTCATTTATGCAAATGAGACTATATTATGCCATCCTTTGTTATCCCCTGCACTTGCATATTTGCTGCGTGGCTTGTTGAGTATGTCATATACTCACCTTGCAATCATTCATCAGAGGAGGAGTTCTACAGTGATGCTGAAGGTGTGGAGGGTTAGGCGTAGCCCTGGTCAAGCTGCTTGTGGGATGGAGTCGCCTGCGCTGCTTATTTTATTTTCCGCTGCTTAGATCTTTATTGTTTAAGAGGAACTATCTACCTCTGTAATGACTTTATATTCGCTTATTAATTAGAATAATAATTGCACTCTATTATCAATTTGTTATTGTGTGTCTCGGCTGATTCCTGGACGAGGGTTTACACACATGTAAGCGTTTGGAATTTTGGATAGAAATTCCGAGCGTGACAATAATGTAAACAAAAAGATTCAAATTGCACTCCCATGACTATGCATGGTACTTGAATAATATAATCAAAAACTTCTGGAAGAATGAAACATGAATAACGTCGTGAACTTGAACATGAAGTGAAATATGAATATGTAGCATAATACCAAAACCACACAATTGATAATAGGAAGCTTCGAATAATAATTGGGTAAATGAAACCAACAAAGCAATACAGTTTATCCACCACACAAGTCCGTCTTGTACTTGCCTTAACTTCATCGATAATCCAACTCAACTCCTTCAACATTGGTACCCTCCACACCTATGGAGCAAAACTACCCATAATAAACCACTATATCCAACTAATGATAGTTACAAGGGACATTTACTAAAATCGAAACCTAGAATATATAAATTTTTTACCGATTTATATTAAATAACCTATAGTTGTTCCCTTATTGTTTTATGTGTAACTCACGAACCGTCTAACGGAATCTAGCAAATAATACAACTTCGGACATCTAGACAAAATTGTCTACAACGAATTGTTGTCCTGATTTCCGGACCTGGTCAGCAGTACTGTTTCTGTTGTTTCTCCTAAACCGTTTATTGGAATCGAGCGAAACCAGCAGCGTTAGAAAGATATCGACGATGACTACAAACTTTATTTAGGACAACTAACCTGAATCCCGAAGGTTTAATACTAGAATTGAAAATACGGTTTCAGCCTAGCGTTCGATAAAAATAGAGCTACCGGAAACAGATCGTCTTATATATAAATTAGAAACAACTAGGGACTAAAACGGATTAGCTAGCAGTACTAATTTTGTAAAAAAAACCAAGAATTTAGAAATATCCACCAAATTCCCCAAATTTCCCTTCTTCTAACTTTTTTTTCCCTTCTCTTAAACAACTAGGTTTAACTTTTTTTTCCCTTCTAACAAGCAGCAGCAGCCAATAGCAACGCACAAGCAGCAGCAACGGCAGATCGGCAGCAGCACAAGCAGATCAGCAGCAGGCCAGCAGCCACAGCAGCACAGGCAGCAGTCCTAGCGGCAGCAGCAGTTTTTCCTTTTTTTTTTTTTCCTTCTATTGGTTAAATAGGGAGAGGCTAATGAAGATCGAACGGCCCACATTAAATCGATCACCGGAAATAACTCGGGACTCCGATTACCACAAACTTATAGTCTATTTCGCACTACTCGATGAGCTCTACGCATCCACGGTTCCTGATCGCCTATTCGAACAATGGTTTAAAAGTTGAACTTTTGTCCTCCCCTTTTTGTTTGCGAATCCCTCTTTGTATCCTTTGAGGAGAAACTTCCCAGATTGCTCTAATATTCCCTGAAATATATTAATTCAAAACCCGGGGCATTACATCTAGATAGTGCTAGAATGATTTACATTGTGATATGGAGGAAGTACCTCGTTAATTAACATAGTGTGTGCATTGCGCGCGAAAGGTTTCTTTTGGTGATATTGAACAAAATATAAAAACTGCTAAAAG